CTATCCTTTGGGAAAAATTGAGTTAGCGTAATGTAATATTCTCTAGCTAACCGTCAACAGCTATAACTGCTTAGCTGTAACAGCTTCCTGATCTACTTTTCAAGGGACTCTTTCTTGAGCTGACATATTCTAACGACAATACCTATGCTCAGGGTCTCTAGAACCTAGTTTTTAAGAGGTAGATAACTTAAGCTCTGTTGCATTTTGACAGGCCTATGAATTATATACAATTAAACTCGAATAACTATAGTGATTAATACAAGTCCAAGCTGTCCCTGTAAAGTTACATTTTCTTTACAATACTTCTCCTTTAAAGACCAAGGGCTTTTTTCTTTTTTTTTGAAAGAAAATTCCTGGGGAGCTCTCAATCCCCTGCTAATACGAATGAGACTGGCTACACAGCACTAAGCTATAGCTCAGGGAGGCCTGCAAAAGTCACGTAAATTATCACTGCACCTGGTAACACTCAGCTCACATCTTCAAATTTTCATTCAAAGCTAGGAACAGCTTTTTATTAATTTATTTATGTTTGTTGCTCAAGCCATGGTGGTTGATCTAAGAACGTGGAAAAAATGTCTATTTTGTTAGCAGGATCTGTGCTGCCAGAAGCTAGCTTACATTTTCCAGGTACCCTAGCTGGTCTAGCAGAAAACATCAGAACCAAAAATCTTATTATTTCCAACAGAAAGTGAATCACAGAATCACAGAATTATCTAGGCTGGAAGAGACCCTTGGGATCATCGAGTTCAGCCATCCACCCTATGATAGGTGCAACGAAGTTGGCATATTTAAGCAGAATACCAAAGTAAAGGGATAAGAACAGGGCCAGCAGGGCAGGATGGAGTTAACAAATCCCACACCAAGAACTGCAAGAAGAGAATCCCACACCATTCTGGCTTAGCAGGAAGACCACAGCCTCACTAGTCAAAAGGCAAAGGAAAGTTTGGGTCAGGACAAATGCGCAGAATTAAGTAACAGAAAATGGCTCCTTGGCCCACGTATGGAGAGGAAGAAACACTAACTGAAAATGCCTTCTTTGGTTAGGCAGACTAACTTATGTTTAGAAACCAAGCTAAGAAAGCATTTTGGTCTGAGCCTAACACTGTCCCTGCGGGTAGCCCCGTTTGTTTATTTTGCCTTGAACCTTCCAACATCCCCTTTGCACAAATCATCCGGCTTTCAAATTTTTGGGTACTGTCCTCTCTTCAACCATGGCCTGCCGCCTCCTTCACAAAGCTCCAGGCCTATTATATTTCAGCCTGCTTGTCATAAAGCCTAACAAGCTATTTCAATAGCTTCCTCACACTTGAGAGTTACTGAGCTTTTAGTGCTTCCTCACCCTTACTTAAAAGGGACTGTTATTGGAAAACCTAATACATTCAATATGACAGGGCTGGATTTACAAATCTACTTGTCTGGTTTCTATTGACATTTAAAAACAATGTTAGCGACAAAAATGTAATTATTCCTAAATGATGGAAACAAGGAGCCAGGCGTTCTGAATGAACTTTTTTTGAACCTCTATTCATTTCACTTCAGATTTTGGCAGAGGGTTTTGCTGGTTTCTATTTTATCCTAACCAGTTTATTCATGTTCCAGACTTTATATGTTCTGTGGCTGTAAAGCTTTCCTGTGGAATTCACCCATTGCCACAGAATTGTGCTGGAGAAACCCAGCACGCCTCTGAAAAATAAGAGAATTTTCTTGCGTTTACATGTAGAGATGAAGTTGAGAACATGCACCAAGCATATGCTGACATAGCTCGCTCTCTCCATCATTTTTCAGGCTGCCTTAAATTGCAATTCTGAAAGGTGTGAACTACCTCATCTATCTCAGTTGGGGCTGGAAGGATTCCCCTCTTCCAATCTGTAGAATCTGCTGATTTGTACTGAGCCATGCAAATTCGGCATTTTTGCTACTAAATTCCCTGTTTTATTGTCTGCCTCTTCCTCTCCAATTGCAGTGGGGACGAATTGAAATACAGAGAAGTGTCCATTTAAGAGAAAATTTTTACTGTAAGGGTGATCCGACACTGGGACAGGTTGCCCAGAGAGGGTGTGGAGTTTCCATCCTTGGAACAATGTCCCGGACTGAGCTGCCCCTGCTTTGAGCGGTGGGTATGGACTATTTCCAGGTCTCTTCTCATCTGAGCTGTTCTGTGGCTGGGTAAATTTTTTCAGCGAGGGAGATGTTTGCTGTTTGTAGCATTTGTTCTTCCAGCACTGTTCCACAGACCCCTCCAGCAACCACCTAGGGACCTAACGAGCATATACAGGTGAAGTCCACAGGTCTCAGCTTACCAATCAACACACTGTCCTACTGCAGCTGGAAAATGATACCCCAGCAAAGCCCTACAAAACCATGAGAGAAATTTTGCTGTCTGTACAGAAGGGCGCTGCTAAGAGTTTATCAGATTTGTCTGGGTAGGAGGCAGAGAGCTACTCTGATGAGTACCTGCCATCTCTACAGACTGAAAGAGTTCACAGCGAGGACAAAAAGCTGAAGGAACAAAAAATGGGTTTTGGTGCAGAAAGATTAGAGGAGACTCACAGATGTAGAAATAGTAATGTGTTGGCAAGGAATCTATGGGTCAGAGTGCTGTGTTCATGTCATACTGTCACCTCCACAAATAGCTGTCTTGCCTGGATTAATTTCTAGTTCTTCCTACTGCTCAGGAATGCAAGACAACCCAACGCTGAGACTGGTGTAACGATAATGTAAGGCACTTCATTGCCCACTTTTGAGTCCACGCTGCTCACTTGCAATCCATTTATTCTACCACTTTACATTGTGCCTTAAACTCAGGTGGGATTTGTGTTGGACAGATTTAGCCAAATTGAGAAGCTTAGCATCAGCTACTCATCCAGGTTCCCCTTACAACAAATCAAAAGAAGCCGACATCTCAAAAGAACAAGACTTCACTTCCCAGAATAAGTATCTGAGACAGGTGGAAAAAGTACAGTTCCAGAACAGGTTGTTATCCATCTAGATTTCCTTTAAGTATCTGAGACAGGTGGAAAAAGTACAGTTCCAGAACAGGTTGTTATCCATCTAGATTTCCATTAATATCTGGCAAAAACAACTTTTAGGTACCAAAAATTGGTTAATGAACATTCTGATAAGATTATAGGGTTACTGGAACAGCACTTCTTATGACGGGGACTCACCTTGTTAGTATCTCCCCTTGCCATAACAGCCCAAACAAACATAGCCTTACAAGTTTAGATATCTACCACAATGAATGTTTTTAAGTTACTACACAACACTGGTCATCTGGACTGAAACACTGTGAACCGACTAGCAATTAAGCATTTTAGTCCATCTAAGATGAGCCCAAGCAAACGTTCTGGTGTCTCCTGTTGGCTGTAGCTGACAAAAGTGAGAGAAAAGGCTGGTCAGCACATTTCCTATCATTCTCTAAGAACAAGCAGGTAGGGATCAGAAAGTACTTCAGAGTCATCATCACAAGCACCACAGTGGACGAAAGGAAATTCAAGATATGCTTCATTAATAAGTGGAAATAAACAGGGCGGGGGGTAGGGGAGATATCAATCTTCAAAACCATTAAGAAATGAAAGCTACCTGTGAGATAACATGACAGCAAAAGTTCCCAAATTGAATCAAGTGTGAAAATTGCTGGAAGAGTAGGACAGAGGTGGGAGTCAGAAATCTTTTTGCCTAATTTTGTCTCTGATGCACTGAAATGACTCCAGCAAATCTTTTATACCCTTTATGCCTTTGTTTCCACATCTGTAATTCAGTTCACAGTTAACCTGTAACACTTACCCCACAAGGACGTAGAAAGGCTTGAAGGGTTCTTGAGATCCAAGACGTGGCTTAGGAAATACAATTATTAAAAATGTGAGCAGCTGGGAGGTGATCAATAACACCGCTGAACAGTATATAAAAATCAGAAGTGTCAATCTCCAGGCACAGGCCCATACAGGTGGAACTAAAGCAGCGTGTCCCCAGGCTAATTGCCTCACAAAGCCTGGGACCTGTTTGCCTCCAGCAGAACACACAGGCTCCCTCCAATATTGTGCTATTAATCAACCCCTAAGTGCAAAACAAAAAACCATGCCCAGACCTCACACAGCTGCAACTTCTTCCACCTAAACCACAAAGGTCCAATAATCTCTTTGAGCAGGGGGAACAAGTGTTCCAGGAGCAACTAATCCAAAGAGGAATAAAGTGCAAGAGGACCAGACTGCTCATAAACATTCAGATGACAGCGCAGGTAGGAATTCAGCCTTAAAGGACGCAGCCTCAGATGAGAAATTACGTACCATGAGCAAACCAGTCGCAGTGACGCAAGGAAACCTGCATCACTGCGTGATTAATTTACATTCCCACCCGTTCAAACCTCACCTATATACAAAATAACAAGAAAAATAAAGTAATTCAGTTACCATACTAAATCACTACAACATTAAGCGTTAGGTAATGGTGTCCTTAAACTAAACTAGGAGACTCATTTCCTTAAAGACTGTTCAAGTGCAAAGCTGCCAGTAGCGTTAGCATTAACTAATGGCAGTAGGAATTTTGCCCCATTTGTAACAGGCTATCATGTTTTCACTACCTGTAATGGAGCTAAACCATGGGAAATATAAGAAAGTTACTGGAATTAGTGAGGGTGCGTATGTTTCTGAGTTTCTAGGAAGGCTGAAGTATGAGAATTTCACAGATGTGGGAACTTCTGATAGCATTCCAGTTGAAACAAACTTGTAACGAGCCCTGTGGAGAGGTTCATTCAACAGGATGAGCTAACCAAGAAAACAGCCATTTCTGGCCAGTCGCATCAATATTAGCAGCAGCTGTGAACTCAGTAAACAGCTCTGTTTTCTGGTTGTCAAAGAGCTGCTAAAGCAGATGTGAAACTCATCAAAAATGGGTCACAAGCAGAGAACATGCAAGGGAATGCATCAATATCAGAGTGATCTCAAAATAAGTCATGCTGGAACGTCTCGGTGGTGTTTATAACCCCTGTGTTTATACCCAAGGCATTGTTGCACGCAACAAGAGGCTGCTTCACGTGGTTCTTACGACAGGACCTTGCACAGCCCGTGCTGTGTGAATAAGGGTGCGGCGCTCGCGGCAGCTGGAGTGTCAGACAGAAGAAAAGGTACTGAATTGCACTCTGCTCTCCTTTGAATTAGGTCTTCTGAGAGAGCTTTTCATTCCTGTCTTTTTTTTTCCCCCCTCAAACTCTATAATTAACCCAGGCTGAGGCACTGCAATGAGCCAAACAGGGAATTTGCCATGGTTTATTTTGCCTTCGCCACTACAAACAGATTACAAACTCACTCTGTCTGATAGGCAGCCCTCCTGCAATAGCCATTCCTCCACGGGCAGGAATCACGGCCAACACAGCGATTATGTTCTCTTTTTTCTCTTTTTCTTTTTTTTTTTCTTCCCTTTTTAAAAACCCATGGGACACAATTCCTCAGAATTGCCCCATATGGAGATTCACTTGGATCTCCTTCTAAGACTCTTGCAGTACTTAAAACACTTAGCTTCCTTTATTATCAGGCATATAAAGGCACGAGATTTAACTCTAAAGGGTGCAGGTTAAAAGAAATAATGTACTTTGTCTCTAACATGACTAAACAAGGAGCCTACATGTCCTGTTATTCCCCTGGCGAGCCTCCGTGGCTGCCCTTCACAGTGCAGGTGTGAGACTGTGTTTGGCCAAATGCCTTCGACAAGCCGAGTCTAAGCCCCATAGCCTGAAGCAGGCTCAAAGACTTCCCACGTCAGTCAGTTGCAAGGCAAGGACAGACACTCTCTTGTCTGGTTGCTTCTACTTCCACTACAATAGCAGGTTTTACCCCTCCGAGACCTTAATGGCATTCTATAATTAAGCACTAATAAAGAGAAGGGACTAGTCAGATAGAAAAAACCCACCAACTATAGTTGGTCCATATGTGGTTAAGGTCAACTCATACATTTAACTAAGAAAAACAGGTCTTCAGTAAGTCTCCAGCACATACATCCCTTCATTTAGGCACTGGCAGCTCAAAACAGTGTTAAAGACAGAAACACTGATGAGACTTCACACTAATGATGTTTCAAACTAGTAACCAAGCTTCCAGACCTTATTCTTTCTCTTCAGGGGGCAGGGGGAAGGGAAGGGAGGGCTCATATACAACTTAAAAGAAACCCTTTGTGGCTTACATTCAGTTGGAAGCCCTTGCCAAGAGAAGTTTATGGTCATTTTAGCATGGATTTCTTATAGCCCGGAATCTAGGGTGAAACATGGTGGTTGACTACCACGTTAAAACTTGGGAGATAACTATTAATAACAGTGATTATTATGTTTATGATGAAAATGCTCAAAGGTGCTTTTTTTTAACCTAGTGGGCTTGTATTATTGTTGTTCATCTAAGCAATAACTCATAAATATTCTTATTCCTATAGCTACAGGTATGAATCTTGGAGGCTGAAGCACGATGCTGCACTGAGCGCTTTTGAAGAACAGTTTCTAGAAAAGGAGGCTGCAGAGAGAACAGAAAGTTGTTACTTTCCTATGAGGACATAAAAGGATTGTTTCATTCTTTCAGAAGAAATCAGGCTACGTACTTGCACTCGGGTTTTTGGCCAGATTGCTCCCTCCCTCCCCTCCTCGTGGGGCAGCACACTAAACGCATTTGGCTGCTGTCCTTTGACTGCCAGGGGTGCTTCCATTCCAGTGGCCGTGCAAGTAGCACGGGTGGACAGGGACTGCAGCAGATTTAAGCTTTTGCTGACAAACAGTTTCAGAACATATTTTCTGTCCCTATAGGTTGCAGTTCATACGTCAGCTCCCACTTTCAAAAACAGAGCAACATGTGTTTCTACCAAGTAAATATAATGCAGACAAACTAGACGGTAACTATTTCAGAAAACTTGGCAGAAGTTCCATTTATGCAAGGCTTTCCAAATGTTCCATATTTGCAGAATAAAGATGAAAACGCTAATCTTTGTAGTTTGAACTTGTCGGTTTGGTTTACTGTTCCTTTTTGGCCTGAACAGAACTTTTATGTATATGAATTCTGATTTAATCCAGCAAACCCAAGTAAATCCCAATGCAAACATGAGACTATCAGCTCTCAAGGTTGGGCTCAGAATCTGGGGCTTCTGACTTTAAAACTCTGGTTTCTCAAGTTGCTTTGAGATCAATTTTCGCTGGACTCAAAATGAATTCCATAAACTCCTTTTCTGGTTTTTTATTGGTTTAGTGACAGAGAAATCCTTCCTCAAAAGACAACTCATCAACTGTTAGTCATCAGATCCTCAGTTACAGTCAGACAGTGAGTTACCTTTTGTACTGTAATCTGTTGATAGATTGTTTAAACTGGTGCTTACCCCAAATTTTCACTAGCTGCAGCATGTTTTGAAAATTTGAAACAGCTTACTTCAACGTGCCTGCAATGATCTGTGTATGTCTGGTAGGAAGCATAAGGAAGGGAATGATTAATCACATTCTTCCTAGTAATTTAGAAGTGTTGATGAATGCCAGGAAACATTGTAATGAGTACTGGAAAAAAAAAAAAAAAAAAAGAGGCAATACATTGGAAGCCTTACTATTGCTTTCAGTAAAAGCAAAGTGATTAAGTCTGCTAATTAGACATTGCCTTTTAAAAAATAAATAACAATAGATACGTTTCATGCACTGTCCATATTTATGCGCAAAAATCATAAGCTGAGCACATACAACTATAGCATGCAATCATTCACCAATCATTCATCATCACAACCACCCCAGGAGCTTTATCTCAAAATTGGTAATGAACAGAGACATACACACAGTCAAACAATTTCTCTTCAATAGACATCTTTCAGCCTCATTTACTAAGTAACACTGTACTTCAAATGCTTACTTTGGTGAAATAAGCAGAAGTTGTATTTCTGTTTTTCACTTTCCTCTTGAACTATAAAGCTGCGTAAGGCACCACTTTTGTTCTGTGATGTTGTTCACACAAACTTTTGGACAGATCAGAGGGAAAAGCTGCATCTTTGCATGTTGGGGAAAAACCCAACATGCCACATATTTCATTCAACTATTCTGAAAGCGTTACAAGCTGGTAGTCACATACACCAAAAAGCTGTGAATTAAGGTTGAAGATTTTCTCTGAAACAGTTCAAAGAGATTTTGTTACTATGTTCACACAATACTAATTTCAAGCCCATATTTTCTAGAATTGCTTGGCTTAATAGCTGTACAAAGTCTGATGTCTAACATCGACTGCAGGTTTCCGTGAATTTGAACAAACTGCATTTCAGCTCTCTAAAGCATATACTCTAACAGGAAAACTGGGAAGTTAGAGCTGCAGAAGAAAAATACATTTTTTTTTTCTTTGCAAATGCTCAAAACCAAGTAGGAAATCTCTGCTGTTACTCTCTGGTGTCTGTGGTTTTGTATAGGGACAGCATTAAAAAAAAACAACTCACATAGCAAATCATTTTTTTTTAAAGCAAGTAATTGTCTATTGCATTTAAAACTTCCATCAAAACACTTAGAAACTGGTAACAAATTGTTAACACTTCTCAACAAAAATTCTGACAAACTGGGGAAAGAAAGACTATCAGGAGGGACAATTATTACTATTATTTTAATTCCAATGTGTCCCTAATTGGAAGTATCACTAAAAACATTCACGCTTATAGAAAGAAGTCCAGCTTATTTGACTGCATTGGCTGCAGAATTGAAGCCTGCTAAGCCTAAAGCTGAAACACGAATTTGACGGATGACGAGATTCCCCCAGGGCTCACATTTAGGGGCAAAACACCAAAAGGACCATATAACCACAATCCTGAAAGGCATTCAGCTTGAGATATTTATATGTCCCCCGTGTAGGTAGTCACATAGCAAATCAGTGTTTAACAGGGTTAAGTATACAATGTGCAGCTAGTAAATCTCCACTTACTTCAGAAGTGGAAAACAGAAAAGGATCAAAGAAATAATCTTTTTTAACTGGAAACTGCAAGTTTACACTAACTGCATTTAAACTATAAATCAAGAAATTGTGCTGTCAAATTTATTGTAATATCTGAACTGGGTACTAAGACCCTGCAAAAACAAAGCAGTTTAAAATAAATTTAATGTGAAAGCCATGAGGTCCATGCCAAGACCAGAGCCAGAATACTGGCAGAATTTTCAGAGGAGTGTATGTTGAGATTAAAATAAAAGCCAAACTAAGTAGCATTAAAAAACACCCCCACCAAGCATCCCACCCACCCTCCAGCATCACTTTTCATTCTTTTCAGAGATGAATGCTCACTTTTTCAGAGCGAAAGCATTTGCAAGTTGCTCACACCGATTAGAACAACTTATAAGAATGTTACCGATTAAAATTAAGGACAATACGTGGTCAGAACACTAGCCTGGTATTTGAGACACCTCCCTTCTCTTCTACAGCTCTCCTACATAAATGGTTCAATCTCTTCATCAATAACCTAGGGGCAGCAGGGCTGCCCATGTCACGTTAGCAACTGTCAGGTTGGCCAAAGCTCAGTATCAGGGACAGAGGAGCACCTACCCCACCAGACATGCGTGTTATGTCCGTGTCCATCTTTGTATGAGGTTGCAGAGGATGAAAGAAACCTCAAAGAGTAATAGGAGGAAAAAAAGAAAAAAAGGAAAGCACCCTTTGCTTTGTATTATGACAGATTTATACACACACACATATATATACACACACAAAAATTTTAAAATTTGCATCTTCCCCCTTCTTATCCTCCCCTAAGACCTTGTGGTTGAGCAACACGATCAGGTAAAGAGTGAAAACGTGAGCCTGACATTATGATTATGAAGAAATAATTCTATTTGGGAAACTATCAAGCACCTTTTTTGGCGGTCCCCATCTCCCCACTCTTACCCTGCACAGCACTGTTGTTCTGAAGCTGTACCTTTACAGGTCAAGTTCCAGCCTTTTTACTCAAGATTATGCACAAAAAACCCCCTCCAGTTGCAGTGTCTGAATAAAATCCAATGGTAATAACAAACCTCTTCCCTATTGCAGCATCTGCTAAAATAAATTACTAAAACTCAGAATAAAGCACCAGGTAAAAGTGGTTATGCTGTAACAGGCAGCTACTGATGATGCTACTCTAAATGTCAACACAGACACTAAAGATTTTTTAAGCTACAGATAATACTGAAGATGAAGTCTTGTGCCTGGTGGGTTACCTGACAATGTGCCAACAGGCAAAAGAAATCATCATCCAAATGGCTGGGACACTACAAACATCAACACAGGGCTTAGTGTGTGGCAAGAGGACAAACTAAACAAGATCCCCAGAAAGACGTATGTAAATATTTCAAATCTGCTTTAGAGAAAGAGTATCCTAATTCTGTATAGGAATAGTTAGCAGCACAAAGAGGATGTTTGGTCTTCTGAGTAAAGAGATATTAGAGATGCTGTCTGTGCCCTCTTGGGTAAGGCCTAGCTCAGGCCTGTGGCTGCCATTCTGCAGTCCTGCTCTGCAGACCAGAACAGCATCAAATGCCAGCAGAGGACCCATAGTTGAAGCACAATTATGGTACATGTGCACGTTCCTGTATGATCTCTGATGTGCATGTGGAGACAACACAGGGTCGATTGTGCATGTTGCTTTGTACTGCATGTTCTGTAATGCTCTCACGGGGGTGGGAGTGTGTGTGAAAATCCTAACCAACAACACATTAAAGGGACAGACCAGAAAGCACATTTACAATGGTCCCATGAAACATTTAACTCAGCCTGGGAGTTGTAGGTCAGTCTGCTTACTGTCTTCCCATCTCCTCTGGCTTCAACAACAGTCCACTGCCCATGTCCTTCCATATCGCACATCCTTACGAGCTCCCCAGGGATCAAGGCATTCTGCCTGAGCTGAAGGGAGCAGCTAACAAACGGGGTCCAACTTACCACAGAGAGCAAGCACTGTAGGACAGCAAGGAGCAGGATGAACTGAGAAGTGACAGATTATCAGTCGTAGCTGTCAGCCTGCCCTTCTCACCACTGGCGCGTAACAGATTTACACAGACTGCTTGCTCTGTCTAAAACGAGGAGGAATGAGTGACTCACCAGAACACTCTAAATCAAATTACAACCCAATTCATGTCCCCACCACTGGCTCTATGCAAAGCAAGGTAGACCTTCAAGAGAGATGCACCAACTTGACATCTGCTGACCCTGAGCGAAGGAACTCGCTTCCCCTCACAGCACATGGATGCTTCTGTTTCATGAGGGACCCACAATCAATCGTATCGACGGGAGGCTCTCTAAAGCAGCATTTGAACGCTCAGCCTGGACAGTGAGGAACTTGAACACCCTGGAGCATACATCCATACCCCTCCGAGACCTGAGGCTCACGTTGCTTACAAGAGAAGCAAATTCCAAAGAAAGTGGCACATGAAAGGAAGCACATGTTGTAACCTTTGCTATGAGAAGTCTTGTTGAAACTTATACCCATCCAGAGGTAAAACTAAATATTCATCATTTCCTTTTTAATGTGGTAGAAACTAATTGAACAGAGATAGCCTTGTTCAAGCCCTAAGCAACACTTTATGGCACATGAGGGATATAGATTCACTTTAATTTTATTAGGTAGTTACTTGAAATAAGGTGATTGAGGAAGAGGTTTTATCTAGGGATAAAAGCTCAGCTAATTTTTCCTCCAATATAAAATGTTGCTGTAAGGATGCCAGCCATGAAAAAAAAAAACCCAACTACGCTATAATAAATGTAGAAATGCTCCCAATGATTTCATAAGTGCGTGCTGCAGGCATTCAGAGTAGATATAATCACTACGTGTCACGCTGGGAACTATGTGCTACTTGCTTCCACTTTGAAGCAGGAAACTATGAAACATGCAGATAAATTAAGAGAGAATACAGAAACGGGCAGTAAGACTGAAAGGGTTTGGAAAACATTAATGAAAAGGAAAGGTTAAAACAATTGTTTAGTCAGAGAAAGAGAGAAGCAACG